TTATTTATATAAGAGATTATTAATTTAATAATATTCTTTCTTTATCTTTTTTGTGTGATAAGTGTTCTCTTCCGTATACTTAAAACTGCATTATTTAATTTTAGCTCTAAGTTACAATAATACACAATGAATTAGAAAAATTAAAATATTTGCAAATATATGACTTATTTTAATAATTGTGTTGTGATTATTTAATTTTATTAAATTGTACATACTTGTACGCGCAATAAATGTTTTCTAAATTTTTATTTTTCAGATGCAATATTTTCTGGCTTTACTAAAAGGCGGAACGACTTTACCTAAAATCTGTGATTTTTGAAGATTTGATTTTAAAAACATCGAGAAATGGACACGCGCATAAGCTGATGGATTGCCAATGGGATTAAAACGATTCATTGGCGATCGCTGATAGATCCAATCGGGTACCATTATTTTGTAAACTCGATTATACTGTACGGCCAGTTCAAAGATCTGCGAATCTTTTATGTTATAGATTCCAGATTTGTTTTTTTTTTTTTTAAGGATGGGGAAGTGTCGAGTTATTTATGTTGGAATAAAGTCTTCTCAAATTTCTTAATATCATTGTATTTCAACTGATTTAATTATATTTTAAAATACGTTGTCTCCAAACATATACATTTATGTTAATAAATTTTTCAAGCATCTATTCAAATTTTATTTTTAGTCCAATGTCAAACATGTATGGCATCAATGTGCATATCAGGCGAATACGCAATATTTTTCTCTCTAATTCTTTCATTTTTTACATTTTAAATACGTTATAACTGTAGGTATATAACAAGCTACATGATATTATAATCATATATTTTATATATAAAATTGTTTACTACAAGTTCTCTTTAATTATTTTCTATCATTGTAAACAAATATAATAATTTATAATTTTATGAAAAAAAGTTTTTTATCTTAAAAAAATATAAATATGCAGCAATCGAAAAAATACTTTACAGCATTTATATGTGTGATTTGTAGATTATAAACAATTCTATAAACATTTATCATTCAAATAAAGAATTGATAAGGCTTTTCTATTAAAAATAAAATTAAATTAAGAGGGTTATTATAGGACATATATGTGGAGAAGCGTGAGTTTCGAAAGGAATAACGAAAGATTATTTCTCTCTATCTCTTTTCAATTTCAGTCACCTCTACACGACATCGCAAACAATAATACTGCTGTAACGACCGTTACGGAGACACAGGTAGACACGTATTAAGCAGTCGTGTGCCATCATCGGTGGTGTGAATTATTTCTAATCATTGCAACAGAAGTGTCATTAAGGATCCCGTACGAAATTTTTTCCTAAAATTGGAAATCGACGTTGTTGAAGTAAATTGAGACCATCTATAAAATCACGTGAGAATAACTTGAATTTTATTCCAAAATAATGTGTTCATTCTCTGCAGTTATTTTCGATAGTTTTTTTAACAGTTGGCGCAAATACAACGCAGCTAGTATTTAATCGATGTCAACAGAAGAGAATTTTTTATTAAAATTGAACCAAGTAATTTGCCAGTTCCAAATTTCTGAATTTTGAAACTTTATTAAAGAATCTTAGCTAGTTATTTAAAATAACAGTTGATCCTTGGCACATAAAAAAAAAGAAAATAAAGGAACAAGCAGAAAAAGCTATATACATATATGTAACACGTATATTAAATTTAATAATTTATCCTTCAATTTACTCGATATATATTTATATTTTTTATACATATATACATATATCGTAGAATTGGAATTTTGTGTTACAATGCATACAGGTAATAATACATCATTATTAAAAAATGTTTCTTATAATAATAATATTATACATATAGTTCTATATACATAATATAAATTTCAATAGCTGAGTCATAAATTATTAATATACTCTGAAATAACCGCTTCTTCCTAATTTTATAACCAACATATTCCCTTTACAGCGTTATTTGCGATCATCATCGCTAACATTGTGTGTGCCTTCGGTGCATCAATGTCATTTAACAACCAGACTTATAAAAATCTATCTTCAGCGATTATAACATATGTAGAATTAAAGGATGTATCTAGTCTAAAAGAACCATCGTATATAGTATGTAATCGATGTATTGGTATCTTATATAAGTTTTGAGTTGCCTAATTTTTAATTTATGTTTTGCCACAGAATCAATTGATGAACATAAAAAACATAGTAAATAGTCTTACAAATATATGTATGATAACTTCCTTACTTTTAAACGGTGCTAAAGAAGCGACAGAAAATGAATTGATGTCTAATTTGGGTATTACTGACGATCAGAAAATATCTTTAAACGGATACTTAGCTAATCTTACTTACTTAAATGTAAGATAAAGATATTATAGTACAAAATTTTTCTGAATAATGATATATTTATATATGTTTTTAGGGTATCGGAAACATCGAATTGCATCTAGAAACTGCAGTATATGTTCAGAATTCAATTGAGCTAACAGCCGACTTCTCATCAATATGCATAAATATCTTTAATTGCTCGATTTCAAAAGTAGATTTCAGCAATAACACACATGTTGCAGAAACTATAAATTTATGGGCCCAAAAAGCAACAAATTATAATATGTTAAATCACGTAATTTCTCCAGGTATATTGTATAAATGTTTGACTAACAATTAAATATAAATAAATTATAGTTTATGCAAAACACATTGTTAACAACAATATACTTTATATGAATAGTTAATGTGGACAAAGGTACAAAAGTTATGTTGGTAAATATTGTTTACCTAAATAGTAGATGGCTGAACTCAACTTATACAAAAAAAACAGAAAGACGCAAATTTTATATTTCTCCATCAAAAATGTATTTTGTTCCAACAATTAAATTTGAAAAATCGACATTTATTCATGGTGAAATACCACATTGGAATGCCAAGTTCATTGAAATTCCATTTTTGGTAAATAATTATTATTTATAAGATAACTTTCGAAAATAAGATAATAAATCAAAACATAATTTTATAGAACATCAAGAATTAAATATTGAATCAAAATATAATTTTACAGGATAACAACGTTACAATGATTATATTTTTGCCAAATAAAAATATGGAACCTGGGAATCTGGAGTACTTGGAAAAAAAGCTTAACTTTTTCGAATTTGAATCAATTAGAACTGCATACACAAACAAATTTGAGCAAGATATGGATCTATATTTACCTAAGTTTATGACTGCATATCATGAAAATATGACAGATTTTTTTCGTATGGTAAGTATTGTGTAATTAACAAAATCTGTTTACAACTGATATATAAGAGATTTTGGATAAAATCTAGAAATTAAAACTGATAATTGCTTGTAGATGGGCGTTACTACGATGTTCGAGAATAATGCGGATTTTACACGTCTCTCAGAAATTCCTCTAAAAGTGAACAATATCGTTCAAACGGTTTCCGTGAAAATTAACGGAGAAGGTTCGGAAGCTCCAAATGATAACATTTGTGAGTAATAGAAAACTTTAGGTGAATACTGTGTGTATAAGCATTGCAATAAAAAAAATTTTGATTACAGTTGACGAAAGCGAGATAAGAGAACCGGTAGATCCATTGCAAGAGTTGGTCATAGATCGTCCGTTTCATTACTATATCGAAGTATACGGAGAGATAATGTTTGCTGGAACCGTGCGAGCACCAGAATTTATATTTCTGAAAGATGAATTATAAATTCTATTATATTCTTGTATTTATTGAAAGTTTATATCACACAATATATGTATATCTTAAATTTTTTTAATTTTATCATATTAACGTATATAAAATTCAAGCATTAATAAATAAATAATCTGTATTTTGAAAATGTTCTTTAGTCATTTTTTGATCAATTTTATTATTGCTTAAAAGTAGCCAAATAAATTTGCACTTATGTGCGTTAAATACAACAAAATAACTATATATGCATATACAATCGAGCAACTATGTACCTATAATTATATAATGTAAAAGAGAGAGACGATATATACGCGCTTTTTAAATATGATGCGTTATATATTAATTGATATTTTCGCATAAATACATTATGAAAAATCTTTCTCAAAATTTAAATGCTATATATATCTAGAAATTTGTAAAAACAATTTGTGTATTA